TTGGTATCTCCCTGTTCTGTTAAAATTTAAAAAAATGTAATGTACAACATTGAATATAGATTATTGCCTCAGATAGTCTGTTGAACAAAATTAGCTCTTCAAAAAAAGGTAATGTAAATTTTTTGGGTAAAAAACTAGTAGTTTTGCGTTATTTTTGGTTGCAATTGATAAAATATACAGTTGTCCCACCGACTAGTGGCGGCCTTCCATTTATGGCAAAAATCGCACTTTTAGGAAACGTTTTTAAGAAAATACGTGTCCATTGTTGTGCGGCGCCCATCGCCGCATGCGCGCTTTGTCAGCGCTCATCAACTGAGATGTTGATATTGACAGAATTGCGGTATAACGTTATTACAAAACCGTTACAAAAAGGCTAGAAAGTATGTGCAATATACGCAGTATAGAGGTTATGTAATGCTGCGGAAAATCGATTTCGAAATTTTATCGGAAATGCGCGTTTTGTGATCCCCAGATATGGATTCTAGCGCCTAAACTATGCATACGATTTTTTCAAACTGAATACTTATCGGTCGATCGGGCTTCACTCGAAGCTTTGGGATTTCGAATAAATTTGTTTAATTTTGGTTGGGTACTTTCATCAAAGACGCTGGAACTTTCAAAATTTCTCCAAAAATGGCTCCGAACTTTTCATTATTTGTAAGAATAGAGAGAATGTACTTTTAAAGATGATATCGGATCTATTTTCACTGTTAATTCTGAATTTATGAAAATTGCAAAGTTGGAAATTTGTTCTGCGCCTTCCTACAACTACAAAATTAAAGATGTAGATTAAAAATTATCAAAGATTTTCTCAAAAACCATGAAATTTTCTGTTTAAACGTTTGGTAGTGATTATGCTAAATTTACTGTAACAGATAACATAATCGACGTTTTGCTACATTGGTGTATTCTTTTGTTTGGTTTTTCAAAAAATTACACAAATTATTTTTTTGAAGTATTTTTCACATTGTTAATATTTACATTAACACCAGTTTGAATACATTGTCGCATTTATGAGTACTGTTGTTTTACATAATTTCTTATGAAGTTTCTCGAAAACTCAAAAGTCTGGATTGAAAATAAGCTTCAAAGTGAGCATTTTCAGAAACGCTCAAATGACATTTTCTCCAAAAAGCTTCTATTTTTTCAACCCAAATTATGGTGACGTGTAAGATCCCAATTGGATAGCATCCTGCCTTTTGATAACCTCCCAGAGGCAGCTTTGAATAAATTGCAGTATAGGACTAGTTTTAACTCTTGTGTAATATTCCTAAAGTCATCTTGCTGTTAGGGAACCGTAATATTGAGAAAATGTAAAAACTGTACATTGAATTGCAGGGATAAAGAAGATAAAGAGGGATTTGTCATCAAACCTACCAAGTGCAAATTAAGCAGTCTTTTCGATGAAAGTATAGCATATCTCTACAGAAAAAGGCTTGAAACTAAACTATTGGTTAAACACAGGCCAACATAAAAGAATGTATTCACCAAGCCGCGAGGAGGCTTTAGGTAGTTGTAAATTAAAACCGAAACAGTATTGGTCAGACACAAGTCTAGAAGAAAAGATTAAGAGAAAAAGAGAACTAGATTTAAACTGGCTTAGTGACAAAAAACCGAAACTAATTTACAGTACAAAGCAATAAGTAGAGAAGTGAAACAAGTAGTGTTATCAAGGAAAAATAAATTGTGGATGGATAAATGCGATTATATAGAACAATTCATAGATGGAGCACGGAGCTCAGAAGCCTGGAAAGTAATTAAATCTATTAAATCGAATTAAAAAAAACAATATCGCATTATCAAACATTAGAATCAATAAATGTAAATTGTATTTCGAAAGACTGCTGCTAGAAAACAGAAACTTCCAAACACACAAGGAAGTGAAATTTGAGCAAAGGCTATATCTGACAATTAAAGATTTAGAAAAAGCACTTAAGACCATGCAATCCAATTAGTCACCTGGTCCGGGAGATAGACCGGAGAATTATTGAAATATGGCCCCCTATAAACTGCACCAAATGCTCAATCACGTGTTTTTAAGGTGCATGAATGGAGAGGATCCTCAGGAGTGGCAAATGTCGTACCTAACACAGATTCATAAGAAAGGATCTAGAGACAATGAAACCAACTACAGAGGAATAGCAGTTATTGGATCTATAGGTAGACTGTATAGCAAAATAATACGAAATAAAATAGAAGATATTAAAGGAAAAATAGGAGAGGCAAATTGTGGTTATATGCCGACAGGTCGGTCGTAGACAACATTAAAACAACTTATAGAAAGAAGAACAAGGAGAGATAGGGAAGTTGATCTTCAGAAGGCATATGACAATGTACCTGTTGCTAGAGTATGGGAAGAAATGGATGGACTTAAAATCAGTGAAAACTTAATTGCAGCCACACGGAATCTATATAAGAACAACACCTCTCAGATTAAGATCTACAGCAGGCTCTCGAATCCATTCCCAGTCGGTAAAGGTCTTCGTCAGGGTTTCTGTCTTTCCCCAACACTGTTTAAAATATATCTGCATCAAATTTTACAGCAATGGGAGAAACAATGCAGAGATATGGGAATGACGATCGGAGAGGATAAATTGTATACATTATATTTTGCCGATGACTAGGTAGTAATTGCAAAAGATGCGGACGATTTGATTTTCATGATCCGTAAACTCAATGAACACCTTTTATAAGCAGGACTAAATATTAACATGGACAAATCTCAATACGTGGCAGTTGGTGAAAATTAGATAGATCTTCTTCTGGAAAAGGAAGGAAAAATGAAAGGAGTAAACAAATATAAATACCTTGGTGTTCTTTTTAACAATAAGGGAAATGGCCAAGAAGAAATTTAGAGACGAATAAGCTTGGGGAGAAATGTGACACGAAGTATAAATTCTGTCTTATGGAACAAAACCATCACTAACACTACGAAAAGACCTCACTAGTTACGTGTATTATAACATACGGTTCAGAAGTTTGGGAAATTGACAAAAGAACAAAAGAGAAGCTGCTGGCCGTTGAAATGGACTTCTGGCGTAGAAGTTGCTGTTATAGCAGACGTGACAGAATCAGGAACTACGATATAAGAAAGTAAATGGAAGTAAAGAAATATATCCTTGCCGAAATAGAGAAAAAACAAATCGTCTAGTACGGTCATGTTATGCGAATGACAGACGAAAGATGGCCAAAACGAGTCCTGAAATGGATGGGTGCCGACAGAAGAGACAGGCGACAGCTGTAGAGCAACTCCGTACTAAAATATATAATTATTATATATTATTACATAAAAACTGTATTTTGGACGGGTAGCAGGGGGGGGGGCGAAAAGCTAGCCCAGACCAAGGGATTTAGAAAACTAGTACAAGAACGTCTGTGCCATTCTGTAGCACTACTAGTTATTACATGTAAACCCAAAATTGATACAGCACTGCAGTAATCTATCATTGATTGAACATTTATTGTTTCCTTAAATGGAAAAAAATCGTTAATTCTGAATCTGAAATATCTTTCATTCTTCATTTATTTCATGCCTAGCTCTGTTCAAATGTTTTTTTCAAATATTTCCTAATTTTGGAAGAGATTAAAACTGCAAATTCAGTCTAATTTTTGTTCACTTCTACTTCTGTAATTGCTCTATTAATAGTTTTGTATGCGAATCTAACACAAATAGTGACTGTTTTGTGTGTTTATGTGAATAAGGTGTTGGTTAATTTGAATAAGATAAGTTGTGGGTCATATTCAATTGAAATCTGTATTTTTACACTTATGTAAGAATGAAAAAGTGTGAAGTCGAACATAACCTTTATTCATTAGCATTACATACGGTTTTGTTTTTACATGTTCACTTAAAATTATTCATGTTCAATAAGTTCCAAGGTAACACGGTTCGTAGGTTTTCGTAAATTTATTTTTAAAAATACGATAATAATTCGATTCCAAATTGAAATCAAACTGCAGGCGCGATTTACTTGATAATTCAATTGTTCACTTAAAGATGTTAACATCAGTGTTGCCAATGTCGTGACTGATGGCGTATTAAGCTAAAAATTCCCTTGGCTTCTGGTATTTAATCAACGTCTTCTTCATAGATCGATTTAGGAGGTGTTGGTTTAATTTCTATCAGTATCACTAAGATCGCAGCGCCAAAGCTTGAAAAAATGTTTTGGGATTTTTTTTTAATTTTCTAATGGGATCCGAAAACAAATTATCAGGAGACCGAGACGCGTCGAATGACACCTCATACGTATTGAGTGGTGCACGGGATGTAGTCTCGACGCCAGTGACGAAATGGCAACAACACACATTAGCACGTCTACACACTCGAGAGTTTTACTGAAATACCGTATAGGGATAAATGCATATTTTTGCACCAACTAAACCTGACCCAACTTCTTACCTGCTTTTTTGAACTTGAACAGCTCAACACATTAGAACAATCGAGGGATATCTTCAGAATCGAACGACCAAAAACCAACTACGTATTGCTTAAAATTTTACTACGTAAAGGTCAAAACTTCAAAAATATATCGTAAAAGTGCTAGGTACAGAATCCCACGTGCAGTAATGTAGCAAGTAAATGTTTTTGAAATTTTCTTTATAATTTATCAAAATACTGAAAAGTTAAATAGAACAAAGAGGTCACTCGATCACGCGTTTGTGCCAGCGAACGACTGTTACGAACTGTCGAGAGGACTTCTTAGCAGTGCGCCCTTTTATGTTCCAAATTTAATATATTACAAATGGTCACAAAGAAAAGATTGCTTCCTAGAATGGAATTGTTTAGAAAAGAAACGGCACAATTTGTTCTGTTCACATCGCATTGATAATGATAACTAATGTAAAGGCGTGAAACTGACCATGACAATTGCATAAACCACCTCGCAGATGTTACACGGTTTTCAGTAATGGTGATAATGACTACCACAAGCTACTGAAGAAACTACACTGAGGAATAAAATATTTGAATCATAAATAGCAATTTTTTTTTCTGTTTATAGTATGATGAAATCGTTCCTGAAGAGATAACCACTGCACATGGTGGTTTCTACATCAACTGCGGCCAATTAGAGTTCAAAGAAGTTGTTGGCTTGTCGGATGGAGATGATGATCGTGACCTGAAAGTTAAGAAAACCTTGAAGGTAAGTTTTTTTCTGCAGTCACTCTGGTGTTTTATTATTTTTTTCTTTCTCCAAACAATTGGTGATCGCATTTGTATCCCAGGCGAGTTAGAATAACTACATTTTTTTCAAATATATATTTTTTGTACCAGAACAGAATAATGTAAAAATTAATTTCCAGGTTTAGATATGTCTTGGGCAGTCAATTCATTGAACAGAAAAAAATAATGTGTAACAATTCCATTGTGCTTAGTAACTAAGGGGTTGGCCTCGGCAATCAATTCTTTGAAGAGTTAAAACATAATTTACAAAAATTAATATTAGTAGACTCAAAGTTGTCATGAGCCTTTATGTCAAAAGTATATTTATTCTTTAGAGAATAGGTTCATATGTAATGATAATTTTAGTTCTGGAGGAGTGTAGATCTCGGTAGTAATTTCAATGTATTTAAAACAGACAGCATTTGCTTTTTTGCCTCATTTACTTTCTCACATCTTTGCAAAAAGAAACTTGTGGAATGCTGCATGAAAAAATTCAGTTTTTTGGCAGAAACAAATTTTATGGGTGCACGATTCAGATAAAATTGGTTTTCTTTCTCCCATGTAGAAAATTATTTTCGTGAATATGTAATGCCAAAATCCATGCTTTGTTGTTTAATAACAAAAAGTGTTTTTTCTCAAAATGTCCGCATATATCTGTCCCACCGTCTGATGGTGCCACAAGCACAAAATTCCTAGCATTTATAATGATTTCGTAATGTTATAATATGTTGAACTAGACCGTGTCGCTTGAAGAGTCATATGTTATTATTTTGACATTTTTAACAATGAGGAGTCTAAAAATATTCATTTTGGGGCGAGGAATTCATATCTGCCATTATTGTTATATGACATTTAGCTCGGTAAAACTTTGTTTCTTTGAGAATATTAATGAAATGCTCGTAAAAACATGACTTTTGTACAATTTTATACTGTCTTCTGACACATATACATACATATGACCGTTACATTTCTGTATATTCATGCATATGACTGTTATCTGTCCAAACCGGAAAATTTCTCCGGCCCTAAAACGCTACCTCTCCGATGCGGAAACGGAATGGTTTTTCATGTCCTGTAGATGAAGCATCTTTATAAAACGGAATTCCTGTGAATTTAATGCATTTGGCAGAGAGACGCAAGATGTTCTTGATGAAATGAATACACCTGTAAGCTTGTTTTAAACTACCTATACCTGTGACGCGATTTAATTTTGGCAGCCAGACATTAAAGGAGAAGGGCTTCAGCTGACAGCGTAGAATTCGACCTTGAGGTATCCTGTGTCTCAAAGCGTAGTCTGTTGGGGAATTCCCTCTCTCTCCCGATTCTGAGCTTGGGAAGCTGTACGGTTATGGCTTCTACTCAGGCGTTTCCCTGCCCCTTGTTAAAAACCATAATCCCTCGATGAGATATGCGTTGTTCATAGCCATGCGAAGATATCAGAAAGTCATAGTACTGGTTTGTTGTGCATTGTGCGTTGAGAGTCAGCAAGCAGTCAGTGAGTGTTTAATATCACTTTATTGGTGATTTCTTCCTTAAATACGTTATACTCGTATGTTAATGTATTTTGAAATTATAATAGTCATGTAATTTACTACTGTCAGAACAGAAACGTCAATATCACAAGTGTCATTCAAAGAACAACTTTGCATAAAACGGAAACCTCCCTAAACTGAAATGGTTTTGCCCCGATGGATTCCGGCTTATACTGTATCATCTGTTTATACTGCATATCAGATAAAATAAAAAGAATTTCGCGCTGTGACAATATTTCCTATTAATACAAATACAGTAGTTTTCCCCATTTTTCCTTAGAGGTCATTTTCCTTAGTTTTCATTAGAGTTTTTCCTCGTCTTCCATCTAATACGCCGTAAGTTTTGACATAAAAGATTAACAAGTAGAATTTTTCAACCATATTTATTTTTGTGATAATGCTTGTACATTAATCTACTTTTCTACATCCAATATTAAGGTTACGACCAATATTAAGTTACTTATACCGTACAACCAGCTTCCGAATTCCGCCTGATCTGCCAACCAGTCCATCTCGGCCATATTGACGTCATCATCGCGTCGTTGATTTCATAAACAAAGCTCCTGAAAACTTGCAGAAACTCGTTGAAAACGGAATCATACGTCTTTTTTCTCGAAGTCTCACATCAACTTTCTGCATCACATCTACAGTAATACAGAATATCGCCCGCTCCGCTCTTTATCTTGAATATTAATAAGATCATCTTTAAATGCTCTAATCCACTAATCCATTTTCTTTCCGTTCTATCAGACATATTGTTTTCCCCGTACATTTCATAGATCTGCTGATGAATCTCGACAGCTGTTACTCCTTTTTCCTGCCGAAAATGAATCGCAGCGCATATTTCACAGTTGGTGAGACTTTCAGTTGGACGATATTATGCATAATTTGACCAAACACCCAAAAAAACTAATGGTGCTAAAACAGCAAATACTTTCTCGCCTCTTAGTATCGGTTATGTAATAATATTATACCGCATATCAATTGAGCAAAATGAGGTGTACAACGAGTTATTTTACTTATTTGAGCATTGTACATTTTATTTATTGTATTTTCTTGTATCTTAACTTAAATCGAATTCAATTCGTTGTGTTTAGAGCGGGTATAAAACATATTCAGCTGTTTGTTATTAGCATTTTCGTCTTCACGTTTATTTTTTTTTATTTTTGATCCACCCATTCTGAGTCGCTCTCTTAACATTTTAGGTTACCCTGAAAGTTTTGAGCGTTGAATACGTGTTCGTCTTTCGTCTGACGCCGCCTACGAACATTCCCTTCTGAAACACCAGTTCTTTTTTTCTTGTCGGGCTCTTGTTCGTGACTTCCAATTTTTTAACAGAATATTCTTCATCGAATTGTGAAATATGGAATTTCCCTGCTTTCGCTGATAACGCGGTTTCTGGGATGGCCCCTTGTTTTGCTTCTGGACATAAATGTAACTTCAAATTAACTTCTCCCCATCGAACGTCACACACCGTTGTAACTGTTCTTGGCGTAAATAAATAAAAATTACAAAATAGAAGGTTGGGATTTTTGCCTTAAACTCTGTTTTAAATGATCACATCTTTTCAAAAAAGTTATTTTTGAAACTAGCAGTTTTATGTGATTTGTCAGGGTGGCGTGCGAATCTGGGTAACCTTGGGAACTGAGAAAAACGGGAATTTGAATACTGGAAGTTTTCGTTATTTTCATATTTATCCCCCATCACTGAGCACACATTCACATACGGCATTTTCAGGAAGTGCATGATTCAACTTAATACATGATAATGATGAGTGTTAAATTCATAGTGTGTAAGAAACATGCCATGTACATGCGTGAGTATTGCGAAGTGTTTGACTCCCGCGTCACACGACTTCACCCTGCGTGTGTAGGAGCAACATGGCCACCAATGTAGGTAACACCTCAGACTTCCTATTATTTGAATACTATTTCTGAATACTTAAAAGCCAGCGGCTGACAGGGGAGAGGGAGTTCCTTTGTCCTGTCAGAGGCTTCAAAGTGTGATGTCACTGCAGAGTTGCAGATGCTTTTTTTTAAGTACAGCGCAAAGCTCCTGAAAATTGAAGAGCGCCATTATTATTATTATTATTATTATTATTATTATTATTATTATTATTATTATTATTATGTTAAGCGTTTGCCTTTAAAAATGCATTTACATTTATCCATTTTCCTTTTAAAAACACCTCTCGCGGTTCTTTTCATTTGCTTTGCGCGTATTGTGCAAAAAGAGTTTCGTTGTTCCTTTCATTGGCGGGATAAGCGAAAGGGACTGCAGTAAAGTAGTTTATGAAATGAACAAGCGACGTTATTACCATTTGTTATTCTACTATTAATACATTAAATTGGACGCGCATGCTTCTGTCCTGATATGATGCAAGAACGAGTATACGATCACGTGTCGGCCACCAATGGCAACATCGCTCAACCCCACCCCAGTGGCCAAGACGACAGAGATATAATTGGGACAATATATTGGTGACGGAGCACGTGCATGCGGAACATACGTCTCACCGGAAACTCAATCGTTGCGTTTCAATTAGTGTCGCGCCTTTCATTAATCACATCGTTGGTGCCACTTTGTTATTTTTCCGATCGAAATGACCATGTTATTACGCCCATGATACTAAAAGAGTAAGTTTTGTATTATTGTGTAGAACAGCGCAGTCGAAGATTCCAGGTGATCAGTTTATAACGCAACCCTGCTGTTCCAGGCCCTCAGAGAAAAGTGAAAGAATTGCCACACTTATTTTGGGACAGCTCTGTTGACTACATTTCTGTGACAGTCTTCACTCACCACTCTCTTCCTTTCACCTGCCCCCTTCATATTGTCTGGGTCATACCTGTTCAAAGCAAAACGGGTTGCGTCTTCATTAACTGATTTGATATTAACTCACGATCTCCTTGGCAACGGAGTTTTGCGGTGGAGTATTTCCAAACGCAGATTTTCAAAGAGTGCCAGCTAGGTTTCAGAGAAAATGTTAATTTCAGTCGATTCTGAACAAGAGTTTCATGTTGCTGTTAGTGAAGTGCTATAGCGAAACATGGAGCCGTTAGTGAAGTGCTACAGCGAGACATGTTTGATCGGAAACTCATACGCCAAAAAAAGCAGTGCTCACTAGAGGAAGGGATCCTTTGTCTGCGGATGGGATGACAATGTCGCGCTGGCATAAAGTGCGTAGAGCAAGGAGTTATTGTCGGGAAAGGTTGCTGTGTGGTAGCTTGGCCCGTGTGAGAATGGACAAATGCAAAGCTACCGTTTTCCTAAAGACATGAAGCTACCGTTTTCATGAACCTCAAAGTGGCCTCCCTACTCTAGGATGAGGCTTCAGTATAACCCTTTCCAAAAACATCGAGAAGTTGTGGCCCGCGTCAACAACTCCATTATTGAACCCGAAATCAAACAGCGGTTAAAGAAGGGCAACAGTGCCATGCCACGACTGTAC